GATTCTTGCTCTCTACAACAAGGACAACCGCCTTGTCAATACGATTACTCCTAGGCCTGAGTATCGGCTCGCTAAACCTCCCCTCCCACATCCCTAACGCCGCTTCGAATCCTTCTCAGCATCCTACACCGCGGATAAGCATATTTGGCTATCGGTTTCCGTCACCACTTTAGCAGCCGACTGACATGATTGTCGATGTGCCCAAATTTGCGTACGTTACTACACTTAGTAAACTGAGCGCGGTGTAAAAAACTTCGATGGAGCCGGCTCCCATCATGAACGGCGTTTAGCCGTGCTTAGAATAATACTGAAGATAAGGGGCATAGGCGTGCCCCGGATGTCACCTATGCATAAACCAAGCCACCGTCCATTCATAAATTATCGCGAAAAACCGCAACTTTCACGAAGCACACGCTTTAGGCGCGTGTAGGGATGTCTGGCCAGAATGCGCATCGAACGGCGTTTGGCATGGTGGGAGGGGAGCGTTGTAGAGCGATATCTCGCCATAGCGAGTATCGTATTGACAAGCGGTTGGTCTTGTTTTAGAAGCCGAAAGAATTCTGCTTAATGCAATCACCATGAAATTATTTCTAGATCATTCGCAGGCCAATCAGTAGAATAATGATAGTCGTGAATATAGCCACTATTTTTCCCGATTTGTTCGTTGTACACTCTACGGTATTGATTAGCTCTTGCATGATTACATGATGCTGCCTGTGCTGCTGTTGCTATGCCTCCTGCTGCCTACTACTACTACACTGATGCTGCCGCGCGGCTGCCAGCTACTACTACTACTTGATGACTGCCGCTAAGCTGCCGCTCCTGCTGCCTGTTCTGCCGCTGCCCTCTACTAGTACTGACTACTATGATGCTGCCGCGATGCTCCCGCTTCGCTGCTGCCTGCCTGCTGCATACTACTACTTATACTACTACTACTATACTACTACTGTACTACTTACTACTTACTACTACTTACTACTACTACTGACTACTACAACTGACTACTGTGTGCATGCTCGCTGCAGATTGCTGTTACTTTGCTGTCACTGCTGCTGCTAGCTACTGCTGCTGACTACTACTGCTCGCTGCCCTGCTGCTGCTGCTGCTGCCTGCTGCTGGCTGCGCTGCTGCTGCGTGTAGGTGAGGGTGAGTGGTGTACTGCTGCTGTTGGCTGCTGTTGTGCTGTTGCTCTGCTGCTGCGTGCGGGTGACAACGTGGCTGCGGATTTAATGTAACTGGTAATGGGACATGTAGACAGCGAAGCAACTCATACCGCGGTCAAGAAACATCTTCGAGTCATCGCGGCGCAGACGAATAGTACAGTGGAGCCAGCGAGTAACGCAGCAGCGCAGCAGCAGCGCAGTAGCAGTAGAGCCAACAGCGAGAGCGGGGCATTAGTAGCAGCGAGATAGTGAAGCAGCAGCAGCAAAGCAGCAGCGCAGCAGCGAGCACCAACAGTGAGTAGTAGCAGCTAGTACTAGCAGCAGCCAGGCAGCACAGGAAGCACACCAACAGCAGCAGTAGCAGAGCAGCCAACAGATGAATACCACCACCACCGAGCAGAGCCAGCAGCAGCAGCAGCAGCAGCATCTCACGCAGCAGCCATAGTAGTAGCAACAGTATAATCAACCAGTAAATAGTATTCGGTAGGCAATCTCTTACCACTACTTAGATGTTGCCGCCACGCGTTGCTGTGACGATTGAGCTGCCTGCCACCCTAACCATCAAATTTCCCCTCACGCACGAAACTGCCCAATGCCATGCCCCTAAAATTCATCTTCCCACAGGAAACACACATTTTCGAACTTTCTCTCTTGCCCGGGTAAATTTGCGTATTGATCGCCAACACGGACGGATAGCTCTTCTCACTCCCATGTTTTAACCTGCTTCTTCCCTTCCTCCTTTTCCTCCTCCTGCTCCGCCTCTGAGGTTCGAACGACGATGAGCCGAGAGAACAGAGGAGAAAAGGCGAGAAGACAGGAATGGCGGCTGGTAAAGAGAAGAGAGGAGAGGTGAAGAAATAGAGGCGAGAGAAGGGAGAAGAAGCAGACAGAGAGAGACGAAAGTGAGAGAGAGAAGAGAATGAGAAAAGACCCCTCACTCATCCCCTCACTCATCCCCTCACGCTCACCCCTCACTCATCCCCTCACTCATCCCCTCACGCTCACCCCTCACTCATCCCCTCACGCTCACCCCTCACACTCACCCCTCACTCATCCCCTCACTCATCCCCTCACGCTCACCCCTCACTCATCCCCTCACGCTCACCCCTCACACTCACCTCACGCTCACCCCTCACTCATCCCCTCACGCTCACCCCTCACTCATCCCCTCACGCTCACCCCCTCACTCATCCCCTCACGCTCTTCCCTCACTCATCCCCTCACTCACCCCTCACTCATCCCCTCACGCTCACCCCTCACTCATCCCCTCACGCTCACCCCTCACGCTCACCCCTCACTCATCCCCTCACGCTCACCCCTCACTCATCCCCACGTTTTCACGTTTTCACGCTCTCGCCGCGCGAGTGACGTCCGCATGAAATATTGAGCGAGCGAGCAAACCGGCTTGCTTCCATCGACAAATCGACATGCCCCCGTGCGTGCGTCCAGCGACGCGTCGCCTGCTTGCTGTTCACGTCACTCATTCTGTAGCGACATATCATGATCGGCATCAACATCGTCGTGATCATCGTCATCGTCACTATCGTCAACATTGTCTGAGTCGTCGTCTCGCCGTCGTCGTCGTCGTCACCATCATCGTTATCGTCACCATCGTCACCATCGTCACCATCGTCGTCTGAGTCATCGTCACCATCATCATCATCATCATCATCATCATCATCATCATCATCATCATCATCATCATCATCACTACAACAACAACATTACTACAACAACAACAACATCACTATTGCTATACCAGCGGGGAACGTATACTAGGCTACACGGGTTGGCAGCAGTGCCGCCGATGACGATCTGACGTTCCTAGCAGCCGCAGTCACGTGCACTTCTCTTCCGACTGGGCACAAAACATTCGGAGATTCGTTCTTCTAGTAATGCTGTACTTTTTGCCGAGCGAAATATAATTCTACACTCGTCGTCTTATTCCTCGTCGCTTCAACTCCAATTTTCACACACGATAGGAGGAGATGCAAGAGATAGCGAGAGGGAGAGAGAGAGATGAGAGATGGAGGGAGGGAGGGAGAAAGAGAGAGAGAGAGAGGGAGGGAGGGAGAGAGAGGGAGAGAAAGAGAGAGAGAGAGAGAGAGAGAGAGAGAGAGGGGGGGAGGGAGGGAGAAAAAGACAGAGAGAGCGATAGATAGACAGGCAGGCAGGCAGGCAGACAGACAGGCAGGCAGACAGACAGACAGGCAGGCAGGCAGGCAGACAGACAGACAGACAGACAGACAGATAAGACAGAATGACAGGCAACCACAAAGATAGAGCGAGAAGGGGAGGGAGGAAGAAGGGGCGTAAGCGAACACCAGCGTGAACGACAGCGCGAGAGAGAAGAAGAATGAGACGGAGACAGACAGAGGAGAATGAAGACGGAGAGCATCAGTGATGCCAACAGACCACGCCCCTACCATAGCTTCTCGCACAGTCAGGGGTGTTCCCCGCACGTCTATCAATCAATCAATCAATCGATCAATCAATCACGCGCGCATAATCTACAGTTAAGCATCGTCTAATCACGCGCCGTATCAACCCGTCAGTCGTAAAACATATCACCGCGCGCAGTCGTGAACTCTTAAGAGAAACCGCCGACACTAGGATTGGAACGCCGATATTACACTCGCGCGGGCCTTTATACGATATTTATACGATAGCCTGAATCCCGCACGCTGAGGCTATTGGACGGTATATTGCAGAGCTCCATCTCGGTGACTTCGTACATTGTAGGTTGCTGGTAAATTACTAGATTCGACCGCGATATTGCCGGGCTGATTGGAGCGTATGGGGTTAGGTAATGTTAACAAATGTCCCCGAGCGACACTGCGTTCGCGCAACGCATAATGCTATTACTACGGCCGTCATTGTCACTACGTTATATCTCTATCACTGACAGCACCCACTTCCATTACGGCTGCCAGCACCGTTGGTACGGTTAATCCCACCGCGACCGCATCCTCGCTCTAATACACACGCGCGCACAGCTGCTGCGAAAACTGCTGCACCACCAGCCGAGAGCAGATTCACACGCAGAATAGTGAGAAAATTACTCTCGTTGTCGACATTGTGAATCTTACTTTTACATCTTCATATTCGTATTTATATAGCTCGCTTGCTCTTCTATCTATCTATCTATCTATCTATCTATCTATCTATCTATCTATCTATCTATCTATCTATCTATCTATCTATCTATCTATCTGTCTGTCATGCTGCTGCTCCTGCAGATGCTGTTACTGCTGTCACTGCTGCTGCTAGTACTGCTGCTACTACTACTGCTGCTGCTGCTGCTGCTGCTGCTGCTGCTGCTGCTGCTGCTGCTGGTGGTGGTGGTGGTGGTTGTGGTGGTGGTGGTGGTGGGGAAAGTGTTGCTGCTGCTGCTGCTGCTGCTGCTGGTGGTGGTGGTGGTACTGCTGCTGTTGCTGCTGTTGCTGCTGTTGCTTCTGCTGCTGCGTGCGGTGACAACGTGGGTGCGGATTAATTAGACGTGGTATGGGGACATGTAGACAGCGAGAGCAATCATACACCGTCAAAAACACTTCACATCGCCGCATACGAATAGTACAGTGGAGCCAGCAGTAACGCAGCAGCAGCAGCAGCAGCAGCAGCAGTAGCAGTAGTAGCAACAGCAACAGAAGCGGCATTAGTAGCAGCAGTAGTAGTAGCAGCAGCAGCAGCAGCAGCAGCAGCAGCAGCAGCAACAGTAGTAGTAGCAGTAGTACTAGCAGCAGCAGCAGCAACAGAAGCAGCAGCAACAGCAGCAGTAGCAGTAGCAGCAACAGATGAAGTACCACCACCACCAGCAGCAGCAGCAGCAGCAGCAGCAGCAGCATCATCACCAGCAGCAGTAGTAGTAGCAACAGTAGTAACAACAGTAATGTATTCGTAGGCAATCTCTACACTACTTAGATGTTGCCGCCACGCGTTGCTGTGACGATTTGAGCTGCCTGCACCCTAACCATCAAATTTCCCCTCAACGCACGAAACTGCCCAATGTCATGCCCATAAATATTCATCTTCCCACGGAAACACACATTTTCGAACTTTCTTTTTAAATTTGGTTTGATCGCAACACGAGATAGCTCTCTCACTCCCATGTTTTACCTCTTCTTCCCCTTCCTCCTTTTCCTCCTCCTTCTCCGCCTCTGAGGCGACGACGATGAGGAGAGAACAGAGGAGAAAGGCGAAAGGACAGGAATGGCGTGAAGAGAAGAGAGGAGAGGGGAGAAATAAGAGGAGAAGAGAAGCGGAGAAGAAAGGAGACGAGAAGAGAGACGAGAAGTGAGAGAGAGAAGAGATGAGAGAAGCGAGAGAAAGAGAAAGCATGACATTGCCTGTGTGTGACGGGGGAGCGCAGGTGCACGCCCGTGTAGCTTGTCACGTTCGCGATCTTCGCACGCGACATACCGCATGTTCACAAAGCCATCCCTCCAATTACTTATTTACTTTATCTACTGGTCAACCTTCAACGTCCTTCCCCTCGCTCACCCCTCCGGCGTCCCCTCACGATTACCTCCTCCTACGACCCTCAACACTCACCCCGCTCACACTCCCCCCACACCCATTACACATACCCCTTACGCTTACCCCACTTCACGCGTGCATCACATGATCACGCTCACCCCTCACTCATCCCCTCACGCTCACCCCTCACTCATCCCCTCACGCCCACCCCTCACTCATCCCCTCACGCTCACCCCTCACTCATCCCCTCACTCATCCCCTCACGCTCACCCCTCACTCATCCCCTCACGCTCACCCCTCACTCATCCCCTCACGCTCACCCCTCACTCATCCCCTCACGCTCACCCCTCACTCATCCCCTCACTCTCACCCCTCACGCATCCTCACGCTCTTCCCCACTCATCTCCTCACGCTCACCCTCACTCATCCACTCTCACCTCATCACCCCTCACTCTCACCCCTCACTTCATCCTCACGCTCTTCCTCCCATCACTCATCCCTCACTCACCTCACTCTCTCACCTCCCCTCACGCTCCACCCACTCATCCTCATCCCCTGCACTCATCCCTGCACCCCATCATCCCCATCCACTCCATCGCTCTACCAACCTCACTAATCCCATCCACGCTCACCCCTCACTCATCCCTCTCACCGCCACTCCCTCACTCATCCCCTCACTCACCCCTCACTCATCCTCATCACGCTCACCCTCACTCATACCCTCACGCCCACCCTCACTCAATCCCCTCACGACTCCACCCATCATATCCTCACTCTCACCCCTCACTCATCCCCTCCTCTCTTCGCCTCACTCATCCTCTCACTCACCCTCACTCAGCTCCCTCACGCTCACGCCCCACTCATCCCCCACGTTTTCACGTTTTCACGCTCTCCGCCCGCAGTGACGTCGCCATGAAATATGAAGCGAGCGAGCAAACTCGCTTGCTTCCATCGACAACATCAGACATTGCCCCCGTGCGGCTGGTCCAGCGACGCGTCGCCCTGCTTGCTTTCACGTCACTCATTCTGTAGCGACATATCATGATCGGCATCAACATCGTCTTGATCATTCGTCATCCGTCACTATCGTACAACATTGTCTGATCGTGTCTCGCCTTCGTCGTCGATCTCACCATCATCTGTTATCCGTCACCATCGTCACCACTCGACATCCGTCATCGTCTGAGCCAATCGTCACCATCATTCCATCTCAATCATCATCATCACTCATCTCATCCATTCATCATCATCATACATACAACAACAACATTACCTACAACAACACAACACATCACTATGCTATACCACGTGGACGTATACTAGACTACACGGGTATGACAGCGTGCCGCCGATGACTATGCTGCGTCTAGCCAGCCGCAGTCACGGCACTTCTCTTCGACTGGCGCACAAAACTCCGGAGATTGTTCTTGCAGTAAGATGCTGTACTTTTTGTTGCGAGCACGAAATTAATTCTACACTCGTCTCTTATTCCTCGTCGTTCAACTCCAATTTCACACACACTAGGAGAGGAATCGAGATAGCGAGAGGGAGAATGGATTGAGGACCCGAAGAGGGAGAGAGCAGAGATAACGGAGGGGAGAGATGATAGAGAGAGAGAGAGGAGGAGAGAAGAGAGAGCAGAGAGAGAGGAGAGAGGAGAGGGGAGGTGAGAAAAGACAGAGAGAGCGCATAGGATAGACAGGCAGGCAGGCAGGCAGACAGACAGGCAGGGCAGACAACAGACAGGGCAGGCAGAGGCAGGCAACAGACAGACATGACAGACTAACAGATAAGACAGAATGACAGGCAACCACAAGATACGACCGAAAGGGGAGGAGCGAAGAAGGGGCGCGTAAGCTGAACACGCCTGAACGACAGCGCGAAGAGGAAGAAGAAGAGACGGAGACAGACAGAGTGAAATGAAGACGGGCAGCATCATGTGCATGCACACAGACACCACGCCCCTACATTAGTTCTCGCCACAGTCAGCGTGGTTCACGGCACGTCTATCAATCAATCAATCAATCGATCAATTCAATCACGCGCGCATAATCTACCAGTTAAGCATCGTCTAACACGCGCCGTATCAACCGTTCAGTCGTAAAAAAACAAATATCACGCGCGCCATCCGTGAACTCTTAAGAGAAACCCCGACACTAGGATTGAACGCCCTATCTACACTCGCCGGGCCTTAACGAATTATACTACGTAGCCTGATCCCACGCTGAGAGCTGGACCTATATTGCCAGAGCTCACTCGGCGACTTCGTACGAATTGTAGGTCTAGTAAATTACTAGATCGACGCGATATGCCGGGTGATTGTGAGCTATGGGGTTAGGTAATGCTTAACAAATGTACCCGAGCGACACTCGTTCGCGCAACGCATCAATGCTATTACTAGGCGCACATTGTCACTACGTATATATCTCTATCACTGAAGCACCACTTCCATTACGGCTGCCACACCGTTGTCACGGCTTAATCCACACGCGACGCAACTCCTCGCCTTCAATACACACGCGCGCAAGCTGCTCCGAAACTGCTGCCCACCACCAGCCAGAGAGCAGATTCACACGCAGAATAGTGAGAAAATACTTCCGTTGTACGGACATTGATATCTTATCTGTATTACATTTCATATTCGTTATTTATATAGCTCCCTTGCTCTTCTATCTATCTATCTATCTATCTATCTATCTATCCTATCTATCTACTCTATCTATCTATCTATCTGTCGTCTCTCTGATCGTCTGTCTATCTATCTATCTACTATCATATCTATCTATTCATATCGATGATCGGATCGATCTGATCTATCTAATCTATCTATCTATTATAATCATCATCCATCCAATCCATCCATCCATCCCATCCATCCATCTCATCCATCCATCCATCCATCCATCCATCATCCAATCCATCCATCCATCCATCACATCATCCATCCATCCATCCAACCATCCAATCATCCAATCCATCCATCCATTCAATCCAATCCATCCATCCATCCATCCATCCATCCATCATCCATCCATCATCCATCCATCCAATCCATCCATCCATCCATCATCCATCCATCCATCCATCCATCCATCCATCCATCCATACCATCCATCCCATCCATCCATCATCCATCTCATCTCTCTCTCTCTCTCTCTCTCTCTCTCTCTTCTCTCTCTCTCTCTCTCTTCTCTCTCTCTCTTCTCGCTCTCCTCTCTCGATGATCTGTCTGTCTATCTGTGGTGAAATGTATCTGTTGTCGCTCTCTCTCTCTCTCTCTCTCTCTTCTCTCTCTCTCTTCTCTCTCTCTCTCTCTCTCGCTCTCTCTCCACCGCTCTCCACCCTCTCTCTCTCGCTTCTCTGTCTGCTCTATCTGTCTCTCTCTCTCTCTCGCTCCCTCTCTCTCCCCGCTCTCTCGCTCCCTCTCTCTCCCCGCTCTCTCTCTCTCTCTCTCTCTCTCTCTCTCTCTCTCTATATATATATATATATATATCTCTTTCTCTCTCTCTCTCACTCTCGTCTACTATTAACCTGTCACGTACTACTCTACGCCTCGGGCTGGCTTCAGAATCTACTCTAAAAACCATCAGAATTGGAGCAAATCTAACGCGCATAACGCGCGCATCGTCCTCCATGTAGCACACGTAAGTTAGAAATCTGATCAGCGCCGTGGTGATAGCGTCATGATGACGGCTAGCCGCAGGTGCCTGCTTGTTACGAGAGAATCCGCACTCCGCAGGTGCGTAACGACAAAAAAAGCCACCCATCCATGTTAATGTACCAAACGATTTCTAGTAAGAGTTGAAGGAGACGATTTAGCAAGCATCGTTAGTTAATCTCTAACATCGAAGGAAAACTAGCGATGAGATTATCGTAAGCGGAAAAATCAGCGGAAAGGGCACGAAAGCTATATATTAAATGCCACGCGCGATGAAACGTCAGCAGTAGCACTTAACAAGCTTCATCGCCAGTCATTGATTAGATAACCAATTTATATCGAACATATACAGGCATGCTAGCGCCGCTCTCCAATATCTAAACAGCAACAACGACGACGACAACAGCAACAACAACAACAACAACAACAACAATAATAAAAAGAAAACAATAACAATGACGACGACGACAACAATATCAACACCACCACCACAACCACAACCACAACCACAACCACAACCACAACCACCACCACCAACAACAACAACAACAACAACAACAACAACAACAGCAGCAGCAGCAGCAGCAACAGCAGCAACAATAATTACAACAATTACGTGCAGTAACGGGCAGCAGCATGCAGTCAGGTACCAAAGAAGCCGCCACGAACCCAACACCCGCAAGTGCGACCAACAGGACCGCTATAGCACGGTGTACATACCCCCCAAATGGCAACACCCCACCCCCTCCGGCCTCTAAATTAGTGAGATAGGCTGCGTAAGCAATGCTTCCACGGGGGATGCTGCGCAGGCAAAATTAAGCGGGAAATTACTTACTGGGGGTTGGTAAACTCAATGAGAGATCGACGAGGGATGATAGGCGAAGGGAAGCAATGAGTTGCGTGAGAGGGAAGACGATAGCGAGAATATGGAATATGCTATACAACCTTCACGTGCCCTTGGCACTTGTGCGTACATGCTCGTCGTGTTGTGCGTACATGCTCTTACATACACATTGTATATTATGTGAATACTGCGCGAAGGCGAAGTGTCAATTATGTAAAAACTCCGATGTATATTTCAAAAAGGTCAGACGCTGGTGCTTGCATATAAACTTTAGAGATGAGGATATCACGGGCGAACGTCGCTATTTCCCCCTCAACCAGCAACACACACACACACACACACACACACACACACACACACACACACACACACACACACACACACACAACCTGCACGTCCGAGTAACTGCCCGTTAAACCCCGCTACTGTCACGAAACCGTCTCTCGCTGTCTTTAACATCTTCAAAGGAAAAACAGTCGAAATAAATCGAGACGATACGAAATGTAGATAAAACCCACTCTAGACAAATTGGTTTGCTACTGTGCGACTCCGGTGTCGATATTTAATGGCACTAATAGGAGCGAATCCACCGAGATTCGTTCGACCAAACGTTAGTAATGTTATAGTCCGACTCCGTGATTCTCGCGTTACGCCGGTGAGCAGTTCCCCATGCACCGTGCATTGCACTGTCGCCAACCACGCGCGCGCACACATGCACACGCACGCACGTACATAGACACACGCACACGCATGCAAACGTACAAGCACACGCACGCACACAAACACACACACGCACACGCACACGCACACGCATGCAAACGCACACGTAGGCTTACATAGACACACACGCATGCAAACGCACACGCACGCACGCACACAAACACACACATGCACACACGCACGCGCACACACGCGCACACGCACACACATGCTCGCATGGCGCACAAACACACTTCTATTATTAGATATATAATTATATTCACATAATAGAGGGCTATTACCATACAACTGCAGAGATAACGACGGAATCAAATAATTCAGAAAACCCAATGTCGCTGACTTGTGCGATCTACATTTTGATCTTTATCATTTTTCAAATTAATTTAGTTGTGACATTTAGCACTACTGATCAACGCAACAGATCAACACTTTCAACAATAACCCGAAAATGGACTTGAGTCTCGGTGGTTCTTTTTTTAATTTGACTAATGTGAACATGAATCATTCGCGCAGGTCTAAGGGGGTAATCTGCCAACCAGGAACAATTCGCTAATGAATAATTCGGTAATTAGATGCGTAATTAGGAACATGCGCACTCATTAATCATACATCGCTTCGCGTGGCATACTTCTTAAAACAAGGCTCATCGTCCTCATCAACGGCAAACAACTAATTAGCTACTA